AAGTATCGATATATTACAGTGGTGCCGTAAGAGATTAATCGATTACGATAATGAAACAACCCCAATATTTCAACCACACAAATGAAGTCAAGTACTTTACTTGCTGCACTATATATTTTATATCTGTAATAATAACTGATTCTTTGATTTTAGTTAGTTAATTATACTTATGTTTAGTGTTTCGTTAAACTAATATTTATCGTGTTTCGTTAAACTAATATTTATCGTGTTTCGACAAAGCCACGTGTTCTTTGTCTGGGAAAGCAACTAAATAAATCACCTGGACGCGTAAATCCTGATGATTCTTTTAATCCTCGGTGGTAAAAGACATTGATGGCAGCCGGAGGCAGTAAAATCCTTACGTGACTCCGAATATTTCAACGGGAAGGATTTATAGCTTTGGATGATGATAATGATGGTGGAACAAAAACGACAGGTACTAATTTAACATTTATTCTTCAATAAAAACTAAACGCTTTCCGCTCATTTCACGAATAGAACTATCGACAAATATATTTCTTTTGTACACGCTATAATACAATTACGTTTCTCCTTACAATATTAAACATAATTTTCTTTGGAAACTGAAAAGTCTTACATTCTCACAAAACCAAACACAATTTTTATTTTCTTACAATAATTAATCTTTATAGATATAAAGCATTTTCACAAAATTTAATAGTTTAGCTGAGATCTTTTCTTAGAATTGTTTCAAGGAATACAAGTTGAAGGAAATAGAAAAAGTTTTAAACAAAGAAATTGATGTATTTTTCTAACAAAATATTTCAGTTTTCTTGAATAATTGGTACACATTTTCGCACCCGCTGAAAAATCGTTTGTAACATCTTGCAAAATTTATTTAAAGAACGAAACGCCGAAGTAAAGTTGTTATTTATTGCACAGTCTTTTCGACAATAGATTACAACCAAATGATTTATGTTCAAGCCACGTGATTGTTTTATTTGCTGCGTTTCTTCGTGCATAGATCAACAGAGTCTAGACAACATCAACTTAAGTATGAGCCATAAATAAAGATAGGAATGTACGAGCTTTGTCTTATATTTTATTAACAGAATCCTCAGCCCACTTCTTTACAACGAAAACAAAATAATAAATAAGTTACATAAAAAAAAATTAGAGAAAAAAAAAACAATTACATCAACAACAACAAAAAAAAACTTTTTTTAATAATATGTAAATTAAATAACAATAAGAAAACGCATTCATACAATTTCTTTAATTTCGATTTTCTAACTGAATCATTTACCCTAACTCTCATATTTACTTTTTTTTGTGCTACTTGCGAATAATTGCGTAAACAGCCAACACATGATTATACATTGTCAATAACTATTTTATTTTAAAGCAAATGAACGACATTTTTTTTAAAATTGTTATTTTATTGCAGCCGTTCTTTTACTTTAACGCTGATGATTTAGTTTTGAACGTTTTATATTATTTTAATTGTCTGCTTTACACAAAAAGTAGAACACAAAATGGATGAATATTGTGATGGATTAGAATGTAAATGTTATGATTAAAAAATATATGGTAATAGTAATGTAAATATCAAGCGAGTCGATGATGGAAACAAAACAATAAAAATGAATTATTTGGGAATGTTTTCGAAAAATGTACACATCTAATTTCCCAATTGCACTTCTCAATTACAAAACTTAATCAAAATAGAAATGTCATTTACTTGAAATATAACTAGGGTTGAGTAAATGCAATTTTCGATGTGTACTTTTGTAGCAAAAGCTTTCTTTCCTAATAACTATTATAAACAAAAAAAAAACACTATCCAGAGCCTAAAATAACGCACTTTTCGCATCAGTCTGCTAACACAGCTCTTTCCTCTACATATAATTTAGTCTCTTTTTATTACAAAAATATCTTCATTTTTTTTTCATTCCTCACTTGATCTAAATTGACGCCGGTTCAACAGAATCATTCAATAATATCTTCAAGAGCTTTCGTCACATACGCCTACTTATACTTAAATTCGGCTATTTACAAATAAGGATGTTGCTATGGTAACGATGTAGCAATTAAGCAGATGAATTGATTATCGTAACTGCAGCAGTTTTGATGACATTTCCACTTTACGTTTTCATTTGAAAAGAAAGTGAAAATATCAACAATTGTAGTTTTTTGTTAAGTAATTCTTATTATTAAACAATGAATAAATAATTGTAATGATAATTATAACAAATATACAAATTAATGATAGTCTTCTTAGAAGTTCATAGGTTAAAGCTAATTCTTGATATAAATTAAACGTGCTTATTTCAATCGAATTTGCGTTAAAATTATTATATTTTTTTAGTTTCATTTGAAATACAATAGAATTATAGAAAGAATTATATCAAATGGGAATTATCAGCTCTGAAAATATTACGACAATTCATTCACGATTCGAAATCATCGGTAATTGGTTGTGTGTTTGTATGTAAATATTTAACTCTCTTGTTCTCTTTTTTTTTACTAAACGCTACAAAAATACTATTGTACTTTGTCTTTGTCCTCTTCGAAATTACAATTTACGTACATTATTAAGAAAAATAAAATCAGGACGTATATACGAACATAAACATTCTCTGATTTGGACGAAATTTTGCTACGCTCAGCTCTAATGCTTCCTCTAAAATACTTCGGAATCTCACTTTTTAAGAAAGTTCGGTAAAAAATTACAAAATCTATCTAGAGATTACACTTTCCTTCCATTACTAATTACCCATCAATTGCTATAAAATTAGATTGTTGTAGTTTCATGAATAGTATTATTTTTTTCTCTCTTCATTTATTCGCTGCCTTTTCTCTAAATTGTATCACTAACCTTTCTGCTCTCTTTGTTTATTTTATTTTTTTGTAAATTTTAAAATGTAATAATTTTGGCACACGTTTGTTGTGTATTCTTTGGTTTAGAAGAGTTTCAGCTTCCAGATGGAGAGTGGCCTTTGGAACAGCGTGACCTGACCGTGCTCTTTGCCACCGATGATGAAGACGTACAAGGGTACAAAAGGTTCGATGGTTTTGGCTTCTTGTTGGATTTTCTTTCGTTCCACTCTACCAGCGCTCACAGCCCTCGATTTGCTCTCTTTCTTAGCCAAAGACAATTGCTTCGGTGGTCGAGTGCTTCGATTAGTATTCCTGAAAAACACACGCGTGTTCTTCGTGATGACTCCGTTAAAATTCTGTAACTCTAGCTGATCGTTATTGGCATTCTTCGCGTCTTCCTGAGCTTTCTTGTCTGCAGGTCCTTGGTAGTTTGGATTGCAAAAGCCGAAGCTCGCTTCTTTGCGTTTCGGTTCTTCTTGCGGAGTTTTCACGCTGTAGTTGCTGGCCGAAGAAAGCCGATTAACAGTTTCTATACTGCAGTAATCGGAAGTCGAAGAGACGTTCTCTTCGTAGTTGGAGAACTTGCCGGAAGTTGAGTTGATCATGTGCTGATAAAGCGGATTATCCGCGTAGGCTAGATGCGAACTATAACTTTCTCCTCTTTTGAGAGGTTTAAAAGAATCCATGATTGTCTCCTCCTTTGTAGGTGAAGGCGAAGGCTGAACGTGCGTTATAGTCTCTATATCATAATTAGAGGTAACAAACTCGTTATCGTAATGATAATTATCTAAATTATCCTCATCGTTATCTAAGAATACCAATCTTGTGGCTTCAACAGGCGTGAGCACCGGCGTTGGAAGCGTGAGGAGGCTAAAGTTTGGCACGGAAATTGGTTCCCTAGGTATTTTGATTGCAGTCGCGTCGAATTCCACCCGTCTCTTCTGCGGTGCACCTTCGGCATCGCTATATTTCTTCTTAATCACGTAAGCCGACTTTGATTTAACCATCGTTCCTCTGGTGGGAGTGCTCAATTCCGTCTCTTCGATCTCTTTCGGAGATGTCTTCTGGTTTCTAATAAGACTCTCCGTGCTCTCCGTCGCGCAGCCAGTTAAAACGCTGTAGTTGCATTTCCTGGAGATGTTGAGCTGCGACAACTTGCTGATCTCTTGAAGGAAACTTCCTTTGTTGCTCTTGTTGCCGTTCTCGAGTTCCGAACCATCCGTATAATTGGCGTTGGATGGTTCGAAGACAAAGGTTTGCTCGCATGGAGTGATCCTATTGTTAGGGAAGTACGATGAATGTCTTCCTCCTCTGTCAGCCGAATTGCAGGTCCTCACCTTTGTGCGATTCGAACGAGAATCCAGCGTGTTAACACCGCTTGGATCTTTCAGCAAGAGCTCAGAAACGGCGAAAGCTATAGTTTCCGCTCTTGGTTGAGGCTTTATTCCAAGTATATTGACTTTCTCCCACATCTCATTACCTAAAATTATAAATGTTTAGAACGCATTTGCAGAATTTATAGTAATACAAATATGTTAACTACATTTACCAAAATTAAATTTCCACAAATCGTTGGTGGAATGTCCATCTCTTTCTCCTCCGAAAAGGATCATGGAAGATGGTAATCTGCAAGCGGCATGGCTGTGCAAAGGTCCTGGATTGATCTTCGTCTTAATGGTGCTCCACGTGCCGGAAACGGTGTCCCATTTCCAAAGATCGGACCTTTCCTGAAGATCGGTCATTCCACCGTAAATCCACATGGCGTCATCGTGTATCACGGCGGAATGCTTGTGTCTCGCCGGAGGATTCGTGTCGGACGTCCCTTTCGTAGGGCCAGAGCTGACCAGATGCCAGGATTCCGTCTCTGAAAGAAATAAAATAAAAATTAATGGAAGAACGTTACGATTACGCTGCGCGTAATATTTAATACCGAAATGGAATGCCCAGAGCTCGCTGCACGACCCTCGCAAATCCTGATATCCCCCGTAGATGAGCATCGATCCCTTGTGGACCAACGCGCTGTGTCCCCGGCGACCCTTGGGCGTCGCGACGCCTGCAGACGAACATTTCAAATAAAAATCCTCCGCAAATATCCTCGAAGCAAAATCCTCACCTTTCCGCGCCCGCACCTTCTTCCAGCTATTGTTCTTGATGTCGTACACCCAAAGGGGTGTCTCTGTCCCCGCTGAAAAGCTGACTTCACCGCCGAATACGTAAATGCTCTCTTTGTAAGCCACAGTCGAGTGCTCTTGAAGACACGGCAGCTTCTCGCCGCTCGGTTTCAATTGTTGCCATTTCCCAGTCACTGCGAGAAGAAAAGGGTCGCGGTTAAAGCATTCACAATATCGAAGAACAACGCTTTCGCAACATATAAAAATACGCTACAGAAGAAATTCCAGTACACAAACCGGTGTCGGCTTTTCGATTTCCCCCCTCAATAACAGTAAACATGTGTTACTTGTATCCAGCAACTTCTTTTTATTTTATATTTTTTTTCACCCTCTGGAGAGAAGCGAGTTATTCCGAGGGCTTTGTAGTGCGTAGGGAGAGAGAGGACGATATCGATCATCGGCGCTGGTGAAAGTACAAATGAAAAGGGCTTTAATTATTTAGTGCCGAGGGTCGTTCAACTTGAATTCCCATCCGGACAGCATCGCAGTTCATCCAGAAATCCGATAGACGGATTCAATTGACACCCGTTTAGTTCATACAACAATTTGCATTTCGATTAATCCATAATAATAGGTCACACTCCAATTATTTTCATATTGATGCATAAACCGAATCCATTTTGGATAAACAAATCACGTATCGATTGATCATACACAATTGGATAGGCTCCAAAATAGTTTTAATTAAAGCAAAGCAAAAGACAAAATCAATAACAAATATTGTGATAAAATATATTTAGAGGCTGTAAAAGGCGGAGGAGAGAGTAGAGAGTCTATGATCCTTATCCAAACAGCGCCGTTAATCCCAAATTAAAGCCCTAAATTCGCGATAACGTAAATCCCTTGCAATCGGCCTCAACCCACACGAATTAATCACAGCCCTTATCGTGTTCGAACATTGCTCTCACTAATTGGTAATATGAATAATACAAAACAGGTTTCCTGAAATCTAATCACGATTTTGGTTATAACACTATAATCATACCATTTATATAATATATTTTTTCTCGCTCCCTTTATGAATGATTACATCAACTAATTGACTCAGTCTCAAAATATTATTATAATAAAAACTTAGTGACTAATATTAAGTCAATTTTGTATCAGCATTAATTAGTAATCAAATTAAGTGTTTACATAAACGATAATGAAGGCAATACTAGTTTATATTGACGTTACGTAATATTATTTGCTTATTTTCCATTAAGAAAAATAACAAAATTAGTTTTCATAGAGAAACGGTTGTGAAAACAGGACAGTATTGAATAATGGTTTCGATATTGAAACCCTTTTACAATTGACGCAATTTCGATAATAAATCAACCGTGTTTATTTTTCTATTATTCTGTTTTTTTTTTCTATTATTTAATTATAATTACTAAGCTTTTAATTCAATAAGTAAAGAAAAAACTAATGAAACTTCGTGCGTAAATAATATTTTTTTTAATAACAGGATTACGAAATCAATTATTTTGCGAGTAATGAGGGGGGTTGCTCTGCGTAAATGGTAAAAGTCTAGTGGTGAAGGATTTAAAGGTATTGGAGAGGAGGACGAAGAAGTGCCATTAGGGATGCACCATCCCCTATTCCATTTTTTAAAAGGATCTTCCTTTTGAGAAGGGTGAGCCACCGACCGACAGGGGCTTCCCCGATGATTATGCCGGCAGTCTTGTTTTTAACTTGGGGTTGGTTAAGAGCAATATTTGCACTTGCCTTTCCTCAAGTGTCGCAAACCGCTCAAAACGCAAACCCGTGGAAGTTTCCCCGCATCCTCCATGCAGCATCATTATTATATAATCTCGACATAATTTAGCCTTGTATCTCTCGAATACACGATCAATATCCTCTCCAACGATGCTTTGTTTTCTTTTTACTCTTCTCGTTTTTTTTTTCTACATATTTTTAGAATGATCGAGGACGGTTTTCCTCTTCTATTCATAGTGAACACTCGTTAAACTGTCAATAGCATCACCACTTGACATATAACTGAATTCATTTTTTTTTTTGCACATATCCGTTTTAATCTAATTTACAAAAGCATGAGGGTTTTCTTGTTAATCCTCGATGAAAACCTTTGTGTTCAAAGCTGCTTTGACCCATTTTATACTTTACTAGCTTTATTCCATTAATTAATCCTATTACAAATCTCATTTATCAATCAATCATTGAATACTTAATACATTCATCATTTATAATTCTACTACAATCCCCATTTTCATTCAGTTACATAACAGGATATATTTAAATCCAAGTGACCCATTAATCTTGAGATAATCTTAAATAGAGCTAAAATAGGTCGAGGGTAAATCGTTAGTTTCCTTCAGTTCAGATTCAACCACTGTTCCATATTCATTCAATTGCTTTTACATAATCCAAATCCAGAATAACACTTTTATCGTCAAAGTTCTTATGCATATTCAAGTAGAATGGTTACAAGTTACGAATGAAATAAGTCCAGAATAAAATTAATTATTGTTAGGTTTCAACTGGTTTCATAATTTCTAGGTCATATAAATATTTAAATAATAATTATATAAATTAACTAATTAATAAATATGTTCATAATTGTGTACGTAATTAATAATTAATGCTCAGTTGTAAATAATTACGTTTGTGTTTACCTAAGTTGTACTTCCAAAAGTCTTTCATGGGTAGATTCCCATTGCGACCACCCAAAAGGTAAACATGATCTCCAACGAGAGTAGCGCTATGTTTTGATCTCGCCGATGGAGCAGGGGTGTCCTCCTCGCATGGAGCTACGGCGCTCCACATTGCCTGATCCTTCTTGTCCTTAAAACTGCAACAAGAAGAGAACATAGATTGAATCCCTAGATGATTTCCCTAGCGTCTTCCTACTTGTTACATATTCATGACCAATTGAATTTAACAGATTTAAAATGCTTTCGTTGCTGTTGTTACTACCTTCGTGAAGAGCAGTAGGTGTAATTAGAATGCGGAGGAAGCTTCGCAATTAATTAGGGTACTTTATTTTGAGGATGATTGCCTGTGCTGAACAGGTGTTCGCGTGCCGGTGTCGACGAATTATGCAAAAATGGAGGGGTTAACTTGTAAAGCGGAGGAAGCGAAAACAACAACAACAACAACAAGCGGCAATAGATCAACTTTATCGTCACGACACATCTCACGTACCTTTTCGCTACTACTGCCTATTGGTATACTTATACCTAATAATATTTATCTTAGTTTCTCTAAAGGGTTGCAATTATTCACATGGTCTTCACTACGCACTCGCGGATACAGTTTATACTGCACTGGCTTTCAGGAGTCCCCGGTCTCTCTCCTCTTCGTTTTCTTTTTTTTCCTTCACTATTTCGGGGCCAGAAGCTCTCTCTCACAGCTCGTGCTTTGCGGGGGCGGCAGAAAACGCGCGCGCCGTCTCTCCTTCCTTCCATTGTACCGAACCACCCCTCGGTTTTCCAACTCCCCTCTCCGTCTCTACATTTTCCACCCCCCCCCCGCATATTGATTGCCGGTTTGCGCAATCCCGAGCCGAAGGGATGATGATGTAACGTCGGCGTCCGTTTCCATGGTGATGCCGGTTATCCCGACAACTTTTCAAACAAACGTCCTGTTTTCAATACCAACAATTAATTCAAAATCATACAGTCTTTTAATGCTCATTCACAACAGTTATTACATAATATCCTACTATTTCCACTCTACTAAAGAACTATGATAATAATACCTAATTTTCATCATTCATAAACAATGTTTAGTAATTAAATAACTTTTAATCAATTTTAATACAGAATCTAATTCCACTGTTATAAAAATACTTTAAAAGAAAAGAAGTAAATATATATTGTTTGCAATAATGAATTTATTATGTAACTTATAAATGTACTTCAATCAATAATAACATCTGAAATTTATAACAGATTTAATGAAAGTTCAATTAAATTTGTCTAAAAATTTTCCGTCCATTAATAATTATCAAATTTGATTTATAAGTTTTATTCCCTAATTACTAATATGTTTATTGGTAGAAAATAAGTTTGAATAATCTATATTTTGAATTATGAAACTGATTAAAAACAAATCATATTGTAATGTGTATGCAACCAAATATGCAAGTAACGAAGTTTGCGATTCAAAAAGCCAATTAATATGCAAATTAAAGATAAAACTATGGCTTTCCCAATGAGCTTATTACAAGATTTATGGTATTTAGTTTTCTATAGTAAAAAAATCAAAATTTTAAATAGAATTTTTACTTTTACTTTAAACACAAGTAATTACTATTTAGTTTAATTAAATTAGATAAGATTAGCATATTAAAATTAAGGATAAACCTATTATTAATTAATGTCAAATATATAGGAGTAATATTGGATAATTTTATGTAAATATTATTTTTATAATTTATAATAATTGTTTTTATTTGATAAAGTTATGCACTTTGCACTTACGAAACAGGGAAACACAATGTAAATATTATTTTTATAGTTTATAATAATTGTTTTCATTTGATAAAGTTATGCACTTTGCACTTATGAACCAATTGGAAATTCAGATTTTGTGATAATAAAAAAAATATTTTCAAGGATATAAAAGGAGTTTAATTTTACAAGTAGGTCATAGTCTCTCGAAATTCCAATAATCATGAAGTACTTCGTATTTGCTCTGATCCTATTAACAGGTAAATATCATTATAATTTGCTTTGAATATTAAAAAAATAAGTTTTTTTTTAATTATGTTAAGGATACTGCATGATACCGGTAAAAGGACAATCCAGAAGAGCTTCAGTAAAACTCTTCATGCACGATTTATCCAATGCTGGATTACCAACGAGAATCGTCGGAGGAGCGTTCAGTTTAACTGGACACGGTGGTAAACATTGGGCTGTTGTGGTGCAATTCGAAGGCGATGATCTGGTGTACCTGTGCGAGTTGCACAGGGATCCGAATACTGGAAGGAAAGGATCAGGAGGAATCGTGTGGTCCTGCGAGAGGATGACCAAGGAGGAAGTGATGCGCGGTAAAACGGGAATCTATATCCACGAATTCAGAAACATCCATACCACGCCGGAAGAGCTGTATAGGATTTGCAGCGAGATCAGGTTCAATGGTACGGATTATCATTTGATCCTCAACAATTGTCAGCATTGGAGCAAGGAGTTGATCCACAAATTAGGACTGTCCATCACTTGGTTCAATATGAAGACTTTGATGGAGAAAACCACAGGTCCCGGATTCTTAATTACGCATTTAAAAACATACAGTTTGTAATATGTTTATCAACTAGTATCAGTTTCTTATATAAGCTGATTTTGATGAATTTTAAATTATGATTGATTAAATAACTCAAGGTTATTACGCCGAACAGATAACACAACAGAATTATTGATCTATATTTAAATAACTCTAAAATTGTTTCTTTTTGTCTTGTGTCCAACTGTTATTATTACCATTATTATTGTTAATATAGTTTATTAACGAATTAGAGACATCCACGGCGTCTCTTACACACCTTATTATATAAACATCAAGACCAACTACTGATAAGAACATCGCTCATATTTTCAACTGGGAACCAGACGCAGAATTGGCAGAATCCAAGAAGCTTTGCGTCTTATAATAACCAAACCTAAGGCTCCACAACAGAAGAAGATATTCCACGCTGTCCAGAAATCCATCTCTGGGACACGACATTTTGATAAAACAATACTTACGATAATTGCGATTTTTATCATAAAATATCACATGAGTCCTCTTGACCATAGGTTTTTCCAAACATTAATAATATTGTTCTCATTTGATAAATATTTAAACTTTGCACTTACGAAACAGGGAAACACCAAATGGAATAACAAATGTTTTAATAAGTAGATTTATCATAAGTAGACAATAATCATAAAGTATTTAATAGTTGCTTTGATCATATTAACAGGTAAATTGCGATTATTGCAGATATTCTCCACATATTCATATTCTATTACATCATCGTTCTTAGAAAACTTAAATATTTATATGTAAATTAGATTAATTTATGTTTTTGTTGCAGAAAATGTTCATATTTGTACATAAAAAGTAAATATATATTTATTATTTTTATTGATGCAATAATAAATGTGTCAGTAAAAACGTAAACAAATAAATCTTAATCATATGCATGTAAATCTCTCGAGTAAATATATATTTAAGAGCTTCGTCACCTCGAAAAACCACTCATTTAGAAAAAAAACATCAGCAAAGATCGTGCTATTTCGTATTAAAAAATGAAGATTGTGGTGTTTTATATGTGTTTGATTTTGTTCTCATCTCATCTTGGAATTGCATCACCAATGGCTGTAATGGACACTATACCTATTGACCCAATCGCGAAAGTCATGTCTGTTATATGGGTACCACCAGCCTGTCCACCGGAGGAGCGAGATATTAACGGATATTGTGAAAAACCCTTCGATTAAACAACATCACCAATTGGAATATTCAAGTAGGAAATAATACAAAATATATGTTAATATAATAAAATAAATTTCTAAATGTAAATTTTCTTATTTATTTAATATTAAACTAAATTACAGAGAAAAATATCAAATTCAATTATAAAGTCTTATGGAAATTTACAATATAATATTTATTTAAATTATGTATTAATGGTTTAGTTTTCAAGAATTACCGAAGTGTGCTTATAATTATCGTTTAATGAAACTTTCAAACGTAATTCGTATGCTTAAGAAAAACTAGTCAGTCTTAGTTTGACCATAGTTTTGGGTCTGTTTATTATTCGAAGAAGTTGTCACATTATAGTATAATAACAAGAATCTAGTAATAACAATAATTATTTAAATTATATAAATATTCATGTTACTCATAGTACTTGGAAATATGAATAATTGCTTACATAAATTGAACGGAAATTGTAATTAATTTTTTTTTTAAATGATTAAATTCATAAAACACGACCAGTGTATTTAATTAAACAGCAATAGATCAATGGAGATGAGAGGAGAAATACTGCAAATCCCACGGTCAATATGCATGTAATTGCCACGTAACCTTCGGCGCAATAGAGATTACATAAATTCTCCCGCAATTGCATGTAATAATATATTTCAATACGGATACAAAACATGTGTTAGTATAAAGCAGAGATTCGCATTCGTTTTTCAAACACTGTTTTACCCGATTGTGGCGAGTAAACAAACAAGGTAATAAACCAGAAGGAATGAAAAGTTTGGCAGTGGTGTTGTTGAGTGTTGCGATGGTGCAGGTGGCTACGTGCTACGATATTAATGGGACAATGCCGGTGATCCAAGTTGAAAAGGTGGAAAAGTGCATCGAATTGTTTGGAAACAATACGCAATCTCTGAAGGAATGCTTCAAGAACGCAACGATCGAGGATTTCGATATACTGGTCAGGGCTCTGATCGAGTTACCGCATACCTGTCCTCCTGGGATGAACCAAGATTTAGATGGAGAATGCGTAGTTATTTTTAACTAGTTTCAATGAGAAATTCTTAATTTATTGTTAAATGTGATAAATGTAATAAGCAAAAATCGTTTGCGTTTCGTCCTTGAAATATCCTAGCTTGTTTATTCAATTTAATATTATATAAACACTTTCAATATCGCATATTATATTAAATTGAAGATAAAAGATGATTTTACATAAGGATGATATCATTTGAAGTATTATTAAATATTACAAATGTTTGTGTTTCATCATAATTAAAAAAGGTAAGTACATTGTCTCATTCAACAATTATACAATTGCAACATAATCTTCATTAAACGAAAGTACGCGAAATTACATATAATACAATGTGCTTATAGATTTTTGTTTGTATATTAAATACGTGACTTTAACAATGTTTTGATTCAAATTTTATTTTAACACAACAAAAAAAAACTATACATGAACATTATACGCATTAAACCCAGGAATGACGTAAACTTTTTTCGGAGGATGCATTCAAAAATTGCAAATTATATTGTAATGGGTATGCAACCAACTACAGAAACGAGGTTTGCGATGCAAAATGCCAATTAATATTCAAATTAAAGATAAAACTATGGCTTTACCAATGAGCGTATTAGAAAACTTTCTATTGTAAAAAATCTAAATTTTAAATAGTATTTTTGATAAAATTATGCACTTTCTACTTATGAAGTATTTCAGTATATGAATGGAGTTCAATTTTATAAGTAGGTCATAGAGTTCTCGAAAATATTTGCTCTGATCCTATTAACAGGTAAATATCATTATAATCTGCTTTGAATATTAAAAGAAATGTTTCTTTTTTGAATTATTTTAAGGATACTGCATGATACCGGTAAAAGGGCAATCCAGAAGAGATCTGTCGAATGCTGGATTACCAACGAGTATCGTCGGAGGAGCGTTCAGTTTAACTGGACACGGTGGTAAACATTGGGCTGTTGTGGTGCAATTCGAAGGTGATGATCTGGTGTACCTGTGCGAGTTGCACAGGGATCCGAATACTGGAAGGAAAGGATCAGATGGAATCGTGTGGTCCTGCGAGAGGATGACCAAGAAGGAAGTGATGCGCGGTAAGACGGGAATCTATATCCACGAATTCAGAAATATCCATACCACGCCAGAAGAGCTGTATAGGATTTGCAGCAATATCACGTTAAATGGCATGGATTATCATTTGACCCTCAACAATTGTCAGCATTGGAGCATGGAGTTGATCCACAAATTAGGACTGTGCTTCACTTGGTTCATTATGAAGGCTTGGATGGAGCCATCCGTGCCATATTCTTAATTACGCCTTTACAATTGGATACACTTGTTTCACATAAACATATTAAATGTTTTTGAAACAAGTGTATCAAATAGTTTTTTACATAAGCTGATTTTGGTTACATAATAATAATCAAGTTTATTGACCAAAAGAACGGATACAAAGAAAATAAAATAAAACAAATTTACAATTAGTACATTTGGCCAAAAGGAACCGAATAAATTTCGAATAGTTGCTTTGGTCATATTAACAAGTAAATTGCGATTATATTCTATTACATCATTGTTCTTAGAAAACTTGAATTATGAAATGTAAATTACATTAATTTATGGTTGTTGTTCCAGAAAGTGTTCATAGTTATACATAAAAAGTAAATATATATATATTTATTATTTTTATTGATGCAATAAATCTTAGGCACGTGTATGTCTCTCGAGTATATATATATTTAAGAGCTTGGAAAAAAACACTTGAAACACTTATCCCCAACACTACTGACAAAAATATATAGAATCTCATTTAATAAGGGGGACATCTAAATATGGAAACTTCTAAAAGAGCAAGTGTATTCTTCTTGATGCACAATACATTACAATCCGTTATAGCAACCACATATCTCGGAAGATTATTCCGTTTTACTGGACATGGTGGCACACATTGGGCAGTTCTTGTAAAATTTGAAGATGACGATTTTTTTTACATTTGCGAGATCTATAGAAATCTAGAACCCAAAGAATCAGGATTAATAAACTGGCGCTGCGAAAAGATTACAGCTGAGGAGATACAACGCGCAACGAAGGGAAATTCTATTGAATACCTGGGAAATTGTTATCTTACGCTAAAAGAGTTACGGAAACATTGCCGTGACATCAGTGCCAATATGAAGTACAATATCCTCACTAATAATTGTCAGCACTGGTGCAAAAATTTGATCCAGAAGTTAAATTTTTTCTCAAAACCTGCATCCGTATTCAGTTTTATGACCAATGCAATCATGGTATGTATTGTACTTTATGTAATTTATGAATTTTATTGAATAATATGAATTTTTAATTATTAATCACTGTCCTTATTGCCTACTTAAATTTGCTATATGAAATTTATGTATTCCAACACATAATAATAATATTCAATATCAATATCAATATCATTAGATTATATTATAATATATAATTTATATTTCGTAAAATATCACATAATTTAATTGTGGGATTCTTATCGTTGTTTATTGTTATTTGATGTTTTTTTACGAGCTTATGCATGTAATTAATAGAAAACTTGTACTATGTCATTTTTCAATAAATAATTATATTCCACAGGTGGGGATTAGGATGTTCTCAAGGTAAAGACACGATTCAGGTGGAGAAGATTATATAATAAGTTTAGTGTCTTGGTGGTTGGTATGGATAACAGGAATCATAATACAAAAATATACATTTTCTTTTTCTTGAGTTAAATTGTTGTCAATATTAATAATAAATAGGGGATTAGTTTCATATTAAGTTTGTTAGTTGTATAAATCAATAAATTGGTGGTGGATGTATAAGACAAAATATGCTTTGGAATATCAAATCGCGTTTAAAATATATAAGAATTGATATCTTTAGCAGTGGAGTTCAGTATTGCGATGGTTAAGTACGTCCTACGCAATTAGTAGTGGATCGAAGTCGGTGATCGAAGTAGAAAAGATGGAAAAATGCATCGAATTGTTCGATTGCAATACGTAATCTTTGAAGGAATCCTTTAAAAACGCAACGATCAAGGATAAAGACTGCGTTATCATATTTCAACATTACTAATGGAGATATTCTTAATTTGTTGTGAAATAAATATATGCAAAGAGCAGATATAATTTTTCTTCCATGAAATATCCTAGCTTCTTTATTCAATTAAATATTTAAATAAAATACACATTTTGATTATGAATAAACAGGATAAAATTTGATTTTATTATTATATTTATTTAAATGAAATAAATATTTAACAATGATAATGAATGATCTCAAAGGCGCCACAAATATTTAAATGACAACCTTAATGTGGCCCTTCAAAATCTGATACTTCTGTCATCATTAACTAAAAACATATATGAAATGAAAATATTAAGGGCGACTAATTGCCGAATGGTTAAGTCGCCCTACCCACGTGCCAGTGGTCTCAGGTTCTTGGTCAAAAGCCAGGCCCTTTGTGAGCCCTCTCGGTGCTTGCAGCAATAGGGCTATCGTTCATCACAGATGGACATTCAAATAAATGAGGTTCAGCATATGGACCTTCAGTCAAGTAGATGGACAATTACAGTATTAAGGATAGCAGCAGTCAAATCGCCTCCTTTATTTGAAATGGGGCCTCTTCTACCTATGAGATCATCCATTATCATTATTTAAATATTTATGTCATTTAAATAAATATAGTAATGAAATCGAATTTTTTTTTGAACAATGAAAATGAATGATCTCACAGGCGCAACCCTTCTCTTGCGCCTGTGAGATCATTCATTATCTATGACAAAAATATATCTGATCTCATTCAATATTTACACAATTTAAACGCAACCATCTAGCAAATAAACACGTTTTTATAGGGAAAACAAATCAATCTAAATAAAATTATATACTATTTGAATTAATATAATACAAAAATATATATTAATATTTTTTTGACTGATCAAAGATGTTGCTTTTACAAATTATATTAGTTATACCCGAAGATTACTATTCCCGACATTTATCACTGAATAAATAGGATTTATGCTAATAAAACTGCACTGAAGGTAATTTATCCGCAAAAAACAAAATGAAAAGCTAGTTGAACGCTGGCTTTCATATCGGGCACATCTAATAAAAATAATAGTAATAATTTATTGGCCAAACATTAATACATAAGAAGAAGAAAAAAAAGTACAATTTATACATAGATACATTTTAACATATAATACAAATATATATCAATAGGCTTGCCAATGGCCTTACATCTAATTAATATGGAAAGCTCTAAAACAGCAAGTGTATACCTCTTGATGCAGAATATATCACAATCCGGTACGTCAATCAATCATATCGGAGGATTATGCAGTTTTACTGGACTTGGTGGCAAACATTGGGCAGTTCTTGTGCAATTTGAAAATGAAGATTTTTTTTACATTTGCGAGATCACTAGAATTCCAGAAACCAAAGCATCAGGATCAGGATTAATAGACTGGCGCTGCGAAAAGATTACAGATAAGGAGATACAGCGCGATAAGGTGGGAAATTCTATTGAATACCTGGGAAAATGTTATCTTACGCCAAATAAGTTACGAAAACATTGCAATGACATCGATTCCAACAATACGAAGTACAATCTCATCACTAATAATTGTCAGCATTGGTGCAAAAATTTGATCAAGAAGTTAAACGTATCCATTTGGAAATTCTTTATAAAACGTTTTTTCATAAAACCTACCGCCGTAATCACTTATATGGGCACTGGAATCATGGTATGTTTATGTAATTTATGAATTTTATTGAATAATATGAATTTTTAATTATTAATCACTGTCCTTATTGCCTACTAAAATTTACTATATGTATGTATTCCAATACATAATAATGATATTCAATATCATTAGATTGTATTCTAATATGTTTATTGTTAATTGATGTTTTTTATGAGCTTATGCATGTGATGAATAGAAAATTTGTACTATCTCATTTTGCAATAAATAATCATATTCCACAGGTGGGGATTATGTTGTTCTCAAGGTAAAGAGACGATTCAGATGGAGGAGATTATATAATAAGTTCAGTGTCTTGGTGGTTGGTATGGATAACAGGAATCATAATACAAAAATATACATTTTCTTTTCCTTGAGTTAAATTGTTGTCAATATTAATAATAAATAGGGGATTAGTTTTAATAAAATCATTTCATATTACAAAAAAAAAACAGAATTTGTAATCACAATTTTGTAAACCAAAAATAGTTAAATTTTAGAGCTTATAGAGCAATGAAAGATTACTTTTATTAATATATTTCATATTAAGTATGTTAGTTTTATAATTCAATAAATTGGTGGTGGATGTTGCAATAATTGTAATCACGTAAAATTTACATTTTATAAGACAAAATATGCTTTGGAATATCAAATCGCGTTTAAAATATATAAGAATTGATAACTTTAGCAGTGGAGTTCAGTATTGCGATGGTTAAGTACGTCCTAAGCAATTAGTAGTGGATCGAAGTCGGTGATCGAAGTAGAAAAGATGGAAAAATGGATGGAATTGTTTAATTGCAATACGTAATTGAAGGAATGCTTCCGCAACGATCGACATCCTTGACAGGCCAGGAATAAAATATGGATACCGCCGAACTGTCCAAATGAAGACTGCGTTATCGTATTTCGATATTACTAATGGAGATATTCTTAATATGTTGTGAAATAAATATATGCAATGAGCAGATATTTTTTCTTTTCCCACTTGAAATATCCTAGATTCTTTATTAAATTCAATATTATACTAAAATACAGATTTTGATTATGAATTTACGGGTATTCCGTATAAACATAATTGATAAAATCGAATAATTTTTGTAAATTAAATATTGTAAATATATATTTTAAATTATTATGAAATTGCACAAAATTTCAACAATATGAAAAATAATATTAGAACACAATTAATGGTTTGTGCAATTGCTACGTAACCTTCAACATAATGAAGTAAACATGAAATACCGGCAAATTATCTGAAATAAATGTACCACGAAATTAACTCCAAAAAAAAAATATATTTTTATTTGTTGGATCAGTGTTTGGTGTTTGGGTTAAAGATGTATGAATATGTTGAGAAAAATCCGACGAATTTCTCATTAAAAGAATGGAAAACTTGTAAATTTCTATTAATATTGGTAAATTTTTGGGATCAAATTCATTGAAAATGCTTTTAAAAAATTGACTAACACTATAATCATGTCTGTTATATAGGTTCCATCATCCTGTCTTCCGAAGGAGTATGATATTAACGGATGTTGTGAAGACATCACCAATTGGAGTATTCAAGTAAAAAGTAATTATATAACTTATATAACAAATGTGTATTAATATAATAAAAACATACGAATGATAATTGACATATTTATTAAATTAATCTGCAGATAAAAAGTATTAAATAAATTTAACAATTCATAACTAAATCATACCTTTCACTTAGTAATTTAAACTTTAAAACAAAATGTACAAGAGCGTTGTAAATATTCTGATATATAAACATAATGTTCGCCCTCAGATAGACCAATGTTTTGACTTGAGCAAACCGAAAAAGTGTGAGAATCTGTGCTTTAAAACATTTCAATTAAAGAATGTAAAAAAAAACTGCAAATCACACGGCCAATATACATGTAATTGCCTCGTAACATTCGACACAATAGAGATTTCATTACGGATAAAAAAAAGAACATGTATAAAGCCGAGATTCGTTTTACCAACACTATTGCAAGTAAACTAACAGAAAGATTTTGAAAGAAACCGAAGCAATGAAAACTTTAATAGTTGTGTTGAGTATTGCGATGGTCCTGCTGGCTACGTGCTACACTGTTAATGGGACGAATCCGGTTGATCCAGAAGTAAAGCCCAAGAGTGTGATACACCTTAAGAGGTGTCCACCTGGGCAGATATCAGATATTAACGGAAACTGCGTTGACATATTTAAATTTGGGAAATAAATACATGCAAAGAAATATTGGAAAATAAATATAAGCAATGAGCAAAAATCTTTTTTCTTCTCATCCTTGAAATATCCTTGCTTCATTATTGAATTAAATATTATGACATTTTGATTATGAATTCACAGGTATTTCGTATGAGCACAATATTTATTTAAATTAACAATCAGAAGTAAAATAAAGATTTTGAATTATTATGAAATTGTACAAATGTTCTGTTTCCGACAATACGTAAATAAATCAGGTAAGATTAATTGTTTGTAAAATTGCAACAAAACCTTGAATATAATTACCTGCAACAAAACGTACATTATTATTTTTTAAGAGAACATTTCATTCCTAATTAAGCTACAAAATTTGTCTTTTAAATTTGAATGTTAACTTTTTGCATTAATATTTGTAGGTGTTTCGATCAAAGGTATTTTAAATATGTTGAGAAAACTTCGAAGTATTTCATAAACTAGAATAAAATTCGATTTTAACTTAAAATTGTTTATTAATATTATTAAAAGTATAGAAAACTTGTAAATTTAATGAAAATAATTCAAAAAAATTGACTGTCCTGCGGAGGAGTATGATGTTAACGGATATTATGAAGAATCCTTCGAATAAACGACATCACCAATTGTAGTATTCAAGTAGGAAGCAATTATATAACTTAATTCAAATGTGTATTAATATAATAAAAAAAAACATACGAATTATATTTGTCATATTTCTCATTTAATAATTCAAACTTGTTTTCCTTTAAAACAGGGGTTCCCAAACTGTGCTACAGGGTCGCCGCAAACCGAAAAACTTTTAAAGTATTTCAATTAAAGAATGGAAAAAAACTGCAAATCACACGGACAATATACATGTAATTGCCTCGTAACATTCGGCACAATAGAGATTTTACTACCGATAATTAAAGCACATGTATTAAGCCAAGATTCGAATTCGTTTTACCATCACTATTATCCGAGTTTAACAAGTAAACAAACAGCAAGAGTAAACCGAAGTAATGAAAGCTTTAACAGTGGTGTTGATTATTGCGATGGTCATGCTGGCTATTTGCAACACTATTAATGGGCAGGTACTTGAAACACACCATGTCCCAGAAATAGATCCCAGGACTGTGATAAAGATACCCCAGAATTGTCCACCTGGGACACGTCCAGATGGAAGAGGAAACTGCCGTGTCATATATTGATGATCCCTAAATTAAAGGAGAAATTCTTAATATATTGTTCAATAAATATATACAATGAGCAGAAATCTTTTACGTTTTATTCCTCAAATATCCTAACTACTTTATTTAATTAAACATAATAATACACATTCTAATTATTAATACAGGTTTTCCATATAAACACAATTGGTATAATCGAAAATATAATTAATGATCAGAAGCAAAATATGAATTTCGAATTATTATGAAATGATACAAATGTTCTGTTTCAACAATACATAAATAAATCAGGTAAGAACACAATTGTTTGTACAATTGCAACGAAACCTTCAACATAATCGACAATACGTGAAATACCATAAAATTACCTGCAACAAAACGTACATTATTCTTTGTTAAGAGAACATTTAATTCCTAATTAAACCTTGTGAACGCGCGCGCATTCTTACTACATCATTTTAAATGCTATCTTATGTAATTATAATGTATAATTTCTTGGAAAAAGTTATTTTAGAAGGCATTTAGTAGACAAATAGTAATATTAATTTAGTTTATTCCATTTGGAAGATACTGAGTGGCGGCAGCACCTAACTTTAAAAACAAGTCGGTTAGAACAATTAACTCTAGGTATGGGTATGTTTTACACACTGCGCGCGTCCACATGGTTTATGCTACAAAATACTTATAAATTTGAATGTTAAATTTTTGCATTAATATTTGTAGGTGTTTCGATCAACGATATTTTAAATATGTTGAGAAAACTTCGAAATATTTCATAAACTAGAATAAAATTCGATTTTAACTTAAAATTGTTTATTAATATTATTAAAAGTATAGAAAACTTGTAAATTTAATGAAAATAATTCAAAGAAATTGACTGTCCTGATGTTAACGGATATTGTGAAGAATCCTTCGAATAAACGACATCACCAATTGTAGTATTCAAGTAGGAATCAATTATATAACTTAATTCAAATGTGTATTAATATAATAAAAAAAGACACGAATTATATTTGTCATATTTCTCATTTAATAATTCAAACTTGTTTTCCTTTAACCCCTGTTCTCAAACTTTGCTACAGAATCGCAGCAAACCGAAAAAGTTTGTGAACCCCTTTAAAGTATTTCAATTAAATAATGGAGAAAAACTGCAAATCACACGGACAATATACATGTAATTGCCTCGTAACATTCGGCACAATAGAGATTTTATTACCGATAATTAAAGCACATGTATAAAGCCAAGATTCGCATTCGTTTTACCAAGACTATTATCCGACTTTAACAAGTAAACTAACAGCAATAGTAAACCGAAGTAATGAAAGCTTTAACAGTGGTGTTGATTATTGCGATGGTCATGCTGGCTATTTGCTACACTATTAATGGGCAGGTGCTTGAAACACACCATATTCCAGAAATACAGCCCAGGATTGTGATAAAGGTACCCCAGAATTGTCCACCTGGAAAACATCCAGATGGAAGAGGAAACTGCGTTGTCATATTTTGATGATCCCTAGATTAAAGGAGAAATATTGTTCAATAAATATATACAATGAACAGTAATCTTTTGCGTTTCATTCCTGAAATATCCTAACTACTTTATTTACTTAAACATAATAATACACATTCTAATTATTAATACAGGTTTTCCATATAAACACAATTGCTGTAATCGAAAATTTAATTAATGATCAGAAGCAAAATATGGATTTCGAATTATTATGAAATGTTACAAATTTTCAATTTCAACTGTTTTCAAATAAGGTAAGAACACAATTAATGGTGTGAGCAATTGCAACGTAACCTTCAACATAATGGAGAATACGTGAAATACCGTAAAATTACCTGAAATAAATGTACCACGAAATTACCTGCAAAAAAATCATACATTTTTATTTACTAGGAGAACAGCTTACAAAGGTATAAAATACTTTTAAATTTGATTGTTACATTTTTGCATTTATATTTGTAGGTGTTTGGATCAAAGTTGTTTGAGAAAACTACAAGGATCTTCATATATTAGGATACATTACGTACAGTAAACTTGTAAATGTTTATTATAAATTTTGCATTAATATTGGTAGATTTTTGGATCAAATTTAATGAAAATCCTTTTCAAAAAATTGACAAATTTTTATTATCTAATTTCAATGTAAAATTGGGTATAAACCATAATAATCATCACCAATTGCAGTATTTAAGTAGGAAGTAATTATGTAACTTTATTATAATGTGTAGATAAAATGTACAAAATACATTTAGATTTCATTTAGAAATCATCTTTTTTACTTAATAATTAAATTTGAAATATTACAACCAAAGAATTACGAAAAACTACAAATCACACGGACAACATACATGTAATTGCGTCGTAACATTCGGCGCAATAGAGATTTCATTACGGATATAAAAAAAAAACGCATGTATAAAGCCTAGATTTGCATTCGTTTTAGCAACACTATTATCCAAGTTTAACAAATAAACAAACAGCAAGATTTAGAAAGAAACTGAAATAATGAAAGCTTTAGCAGTGGTGTTGAGTATTTCGATCGTTCTGATGGTTACGTGCTACAGTATTAATGGGACAATGACGGCAGAACAGTGTCTGGAATTGTTTGACTGCACAACAGAATCTTTCCACGAATGCCTCAAGAATGGAATGGTCGAGAATGTCGATGTACAGCCCAGAAATGTGATAAAAGTACCGAGGAATTGTCCATCTGGGATGCAACCAGCTGGAAATGGAAACTGCGTTATCATATATCATTCAGGTTAAAGGAGAAATTGTTAATATATTGTCAAATATATTTTGCATTTCGTCCTTAAAATATTTAATTAAATATTATAATAATATGCACATTTTGATTACTTATCAATAAATATTTTTGTTAAAATAAAGATCATCTTATTATATAATATATAACAAATTTTCAGTTTTAACAATATGTAATAAGGTAAGAACACAAATAATTGTTAGTAGAATTGCATCGTAACCTTCAACATAATGGAGAATACGTGCAATACCGTAAAATTACTTGAAATAAATGTACCACAAAATTACCTACAAAACAAAACACACTTTTTTATTTGTTAGGAGAACAGCTCATTCCCAATAAAGGTATACAATTTTGTTGTTAAATTTTTGTATTAATATATAATTTCGATGTATAGTCAAACCTTTCCACTCTAAATACCTGCATTCAACTTGAAGCAGATGGAGAAACACATCGCTACCAAAAAGGAAACAACTTGGTTTGATGGATTGACTTCTCAGCATCTTCGGGCGTCTCAACCGAACTTTGGGGATCTACTTAGAACTTAAGAATAAATCATTCAGGAATTCCAATGAAAAACGTTAAAACAAATGATTGAATTCATCAATAAACTTATATTAGCTTCCTCAAACAAGAGATCTCTGGAAGATTATCCGTATCAACTGGCTATAGAGTTGAGGAATATAAATCAATTGAAATCATGTTTCTCACTTAATAATTTAAACTTTAAAACATCGCAATTATAGAGTGGAGAAAATCTGTAAATCATGCGGTCAATATTCATGTAATTCCCATTCGATACAATAGAGATTTTATTACGGATATAAAAAAAACACATGTATAAAGCTGAGATTCGGATGCGTTTTTCGAACATTATTACCTGAGTTTGGTAAGAAAACAAGCAGCAATATTTTGAAATAAACCCAAGTAATGAAAGGTTTAATAGTGGTGTTGATAGTTCTGCTAGCTACGTGCTGCATTATTAATGGGACGAAGCCGGTGATCGAAGTAGAAAAGATGGAAAAGTGCATCGAATTGTTCGGCTGCAATTTGCAATCTCTTAAGGAATGCTTAAATATCGAGGATTTCGATGGAAAAACACGACAACAGGCTTGTCCACCTGGGATGTTACCAGATATTAATGGAGATTGCGTTGAGATATTTTGATTAATTCGTAGATTAATTGAGAAATTCTTAATATATTGTTAAATAATGTATATGTAATGAGCAGAAATCTTTTGTGTTTTGTCCTTGAAATATCCATTATGAATTCACAGGTATTCCGTATATAATTGATTGAATCAAAGATTTATTGTGAATCTAAGTAAAATATCAAATTTTATGTTTCAACAATACGTAACTAAATAAGGTAAGAACACAAATAATTGTTAGTTATTAAATATAGAAAATGTAATATATCATTCTGTGATTGTGCAATTGCAACGTAACCTTCAACATTATGGAGAATACGTGAAATTACCTGCAATAAATTTATTTGCAAAAAAAAAAACATAAATTTTAATTGTTATGAAAATAGCTCATTCCTAATAAAAGTAAAATTTTGATGTTTTAAAGATGCTGAAAGAACTTTGAGAAATTATAAAACTTTCTAAATGTTGGTAGATTTTTGGATCAAATATGCTTTGAATGTAGTGAACATTTTGACAACCTAGGATGAATTTCAAATTCAATATAAATTTGGGTATAAACCTGTAATTAGTTCTTGGTTTATTGGTATAAAAAAACTATATGGTACAATTAATTAATAAATAAATAAATATGTAATCAGTTATATGTTTTGTAACCGTTTATGCTGTTTCTTGGTGTGGGATGCAGCAACGGATACCTCTCTTCGCTCGGAATCAAAATCTTCTCCTTAGACTCGCTCTTCCTCCACGGCAATATCAACCTTTCAGATCCTTTGTTCCACCTCCTGTACACCAAACAATTGAACAACGCTTGCAGCGGATTGGTGAAAGCCTACAAAACAAACGACGTTAACCAAAGTGAAAGGATTAAATTAAATGAATTTACCATAATGTACCAGACGGTGACGATGAATTGTATCGGTAAGTTGAACCACAAAATCCAAAGCAACAGACCGTTAATTAAATTTGGTATCCAGCAGATGTAGAAGACCAAGTTTATAACCAGAAATTTCACTTTGATGGCGTCTATAATATCCCTCTCTCTGCTGGTGAATTGACTGTAACTGCACGTTATGTAACGTTCCATATCTTTGCAAGAAGACATGTACAGCCACGGATTGGCTATCATCACGATGGCTATGGGAATGTAAGTCGCTATGTAATTAGGTAATATTCGAATGATTTTGTCTGTCAGATCTATAGGGTTATGGCAGCTAAAATAAGAAATTAATCATAATAATATGTAATTGTGTTAATTGTATTTCAGAATTACTTGGCGTTTGGGAAGTACAGAAGGGATAATCCTATCGTCGTGAGGATCGCTGGGACGGTCCATGCCACCAAATGGTAGATTTTCGTGTGAGATTCTTTGTCAGCTAGGATCAACCTCATATCGATGGCGTAACACAATGTCCAGATCCAGGTGGCCGTGTAGAAGTACTGAGTCCAGGCCTGATAAAAAAATTGGAATTACTTCAAGGATACTTCAAGGAATTTGATTTACTTACTGAAGACACGGCGCAAAACCACACGCTCGCTTCATCATCAACTGCAGGCATAATATTCTTGTAATTTAACCATAAGCTCGACCTAAGAAATATACCTAGAATATAGATAAAACGTTACAAATAAATAACACCTTCATTATATTAGAATTACAAATTTTATGTAATAGATTATTCAATATACCAAAATTAAATTTAACTACAATTAATCAATTAATGAAAATATGCTGCATTCAATTCAAAGTTAACATTTGCGTTTTACTAATATAGTATAAAACGTGTTAAAAAAATGTTAAATTCTTTTAACTCATAATTACAGATTAATTAATCTCTTTTAATCTCATGTTAATTTGGAAGCATTTAGTTTTCATATCAATGCATGCATATAATTACATTTACACAGTTATCATATCATAAACAAATGATTTATTTTTAATTTTGGTGATAACTCACAATTTGTATGTTCTAATTACTGATTGCGTGGGCAAAGTTAACAAGAATGCGATATAAATATTAATTACATAACGATATGTTAATTATCAACTGTTACAAAATAAACGTTTTTGTTCACTTTTAATTGTGTCCATTATTTCACTAATTCGTATTAATTAACGTCAATAACCAATTATCAAATGAAGTAAAACAAAAAAAAATGTTTTTTTTTCATAAAATTAATTGAATTATTGTAATTAATAATATTATAACGAAAAACTAGTTTATGTAATTATCTATTATCTAGTTATCATTAATTACATAAATAATCAAAAAGTAAATAAAATAGTTAACAATTACAAAAATATTGAATTTGTTTGATTATTAATTTCATTGTTTGTACTGATTATTAAATGAAATTATGTAAATATATTAGAAACAATTTAGTTTATTTCATCATTTAATTATCAATTATCTTGTCCTATTATTTACATCAATAAACAAATGAAAAAGTTTTTAATTATTGAATTCTGATTAATTATTGAGATTATGTTTATATAATTATCTCACCTAGAGAAGCCATTAAATCGGATATTGCTAAGCACACTATAATTTTCCTGCCTCGTGCAGCAGAAAATGAAAGCCACCTATGATTATTTGCGTATTGTTCCCTCGGTAATATCTGTAAAACAAATTAATAAACATACAAAAGCAATTATTTTAATCTATTTCTATGGAAACTAAACCCAATTCATTCTAAAGTTTATTCTTTTTTTGTACAGAAGTCAGTTTTACAAGATAATTTCGTGTATGTAATTAAAATTTCGATCTTTGATATTTATACCAGATGATTTGTTTACTTAGTAAGTGTATATAAATCGCAGCAAAATTGATAACTTTTTGACTTGTTCACATGAAACGCGTATTTCCAATTCCGATCTTCAATAACAATGAATTCAATTAATTGTATGTGTTTTTTGTTTGTTCTTAGATTAGAGATTCAAAGCTTCCTATATCCTAAAACAAATGCTACTATTTACAGTAAACTATACATTGAGATAAAAACGAAAATAGATTTTCTCATATTTACAATAACATCAAGGCAGGCAATTTCGTCTGTCATCTTAACAATTTGTTATATAAAAATAGGTAAGAACAATTGTTAACGAAACAAAAGGCATTAAAAACAATTAAATTAAACTGTGATACATTTAGTTAATTACCTGAATATTTGAAGGATTTAAGCTGATTAAAATTAGTTACATTTTAATTTGGGCCAAGGACTGTTTCATGGATGATTTTTGTTACCTGATAGATCGACCCTAAGATGCCAAGAATTGATGAAAACAGACAAACAGCGTTATAAGCATCCGAGTTGAATTCGTTCATAACATTTGTCGCCATATAACTGCCATTTCCTGAATGGCAGCAAAACGTTTGTATCGTCGGATCGGCCATCGTCTAAACTCATTAACACAAAACGTAAATGAAAGAAATGCAGTCCTTTTGCTGCGATCCACCCAGGAAGCCACAAAACTTCACTCTGCCATATATATTACTTTATTCTTCAGAACGCGACATTTATCAGTTCGAGTCTGTATACACATTCTTTTTTTTATTATTTTGATAACACAACACTATCAAGTATAAGTCGACGTGAACAAACGATTTTTGTTTAAGTTTTCGATTTCCTTGTTTATTTTTTTTGGTTTCCGCGTGTGTGCAGGGAATATCCGCAGGATTCGATCTGCACGTCTCGAGCGTGAACTTAATACTGTTTGTATTAAGTTACAAATTCGTTCTCTCTGTGTTTCTTGGTTATTTCTATAAGGAGATAGACGATACATGTCTCGACATCGAAATTACATATAAATAACATGTATGCACGGTTTTTATCTCGTCAGAGATAAGTAAATTTTGTTGTCGGTTTCTTCGAGATTAAATTTACGTGTCTTTTGACAAGTCTCACCTCTTAACAAACCAAGTATTTCTCTATCAATTCAATAATTTATCAAATAATTTTAATATCATCAATAAAAAGTATCAATTTTATCTTCAAACGAAATATTTGTTTATGAATTAAGTATTAATGATTTAGAAATCATCAATTAAAATTATTATGAAATTAAACAAAATCATCAATGAAAAATATTTTGATATTATTGCAAATCCTCAATGAAATGTATCTTATAATGTTCAGATTTTCTTAAATATTTACGTAAACCTTAGCGCTTTTCATTCCGTTATTTTCGATTGCATTATTTGACCTATTGATAAATCATTTGAACTATAACTAAAATTCGTAAACTAAATGGAAAAAAATATTTAAAAATGTAAAACGTAGACATATTTTTTCTTATATTTAATTTAGTTTTATGAATGAAATGTTACAAAATGAATGAATTTATCCAAGCGTTACTACAAGTTCAAGTTGATTTTTGTACGTTTACGGTAAATTGGACTTTACGAAAACAATCCTATGAGGATTTCCGTAATTTCGAAGGTCTCAACTAGTTGGGAAAACAAAACAAAAAACTAGTTTTTCCCGAATTCCGCACTTTTGACCACAATTTTTCCATCGCCGATTGCCTATTATTAGAGAGAAAAAAAAAATTGGATTGAACGCACAACAGATATAATTATTAGTTAGTGCGGTGACATTGTTATTTCTTCATTCACTGTAAAGGTGACATTAAATTTATCACAGATTAACGAACAACATGTTTTCATTATTAATTTCATTTAATTGGTTTGAAAATTTACAATTAGCAAATTGTAAAATAAAGAAATTTTCAATGTCAATCATCACGATTTTATATAGAAAAATTCTCATAATCTCATAAAAGTAATGATTAAAAATGATAAATGAGAAAAAAGTTGATTATTATTTTATAATAATTTTATTTATTTATGCATTATAAAAAGGGGAGTTTTTTGTATATATATACAGGAATAAGTGTAAATATTAAATTTATAAAAAATAAAACTGGCACAATGGAAACTTTGGTAATTGGATTCATTAGTCAATATCTATGGATAATTCTGGTTTCTGCGTTGTCGTCGAAGTTGTTGAAGTCGTCTTCATCGTCGTCTTTTGTACGTTCTTTAAGACAAGCTTCATCCGACCTGTAGGTGGAATCATCCTTATCCCAGGACTATGATAATCTAAAAAGGATGTGTTTAAAAATCAATTCAATACATCTCATTGAGTTAATTACCTGACTTCAAGAAATGATTTCTTCCACCAGTCATAGACATATCCATTATGTTAACGCCGATGTGGAAGCTCCAGACCTCCGACAGGATGAACATCGAAACGATGAAGACAACTAATAGCGAACAGCGCATTGTGCATTCATTTGATGTTCCAGAGCTATGAACAAACCGTTTTATATATGGCAAATCGATCCGTGGGGATTTTCATCAATTCCCAACGACGAACCGACACTGGATATGACATTGGGACACCCTCAGATTGGACCCAATTCGCCTTAATTCATTTCGACTCGTCGTCTCGCACCGAACGAAGGTCGTAGACCAATTGTGTCCGAAACCGAGACGAGAAAACGCATTTAATTCACTTTGCTCTTGTAAACATTCCAACTGCTGTTGATTTGCTAAATTATATGTTGTAATTGAAGTAAAATTGAATTATTTACACGTTTTGCAAGTAACGTGATAAACATCGCATTAATAAATAGTAATTTCCTTAATTAACTCATTAGTAATTCATTCATATCTCCATTTATAATTATTTATCGACGACATGCAACTATCCACTAACGAGTTCATTAACTACTTATTATCTAACAGGTATTAATTAAAAGAAAAAGTACTTGTTAAATACTTGCATGTCTTACTTTTCACACTTTGTACATTAATGTCTTATTATTCAAACATTGCTGTGGTTTCATCCATTTCTAATTCACGTTCAAAATTGAAAATATCCAAGGCAATAAAATATGAAAGATTATAATTAACAATAAATCAAATTTATGTATTCTGTAAAGCTCATTAAAACATAATTACCAAAAAAAAATTAATTGAGAGTGAAATTAAAATGCTCAATTTCGTTAACTTATAATAGATGTACCATCCAAACCAAAATGCCAACAGTTAGCTCATTAAGAAGGTTGTACTTTTGTCTTTAATTTACGTATTCGATGGTTTAATTAGCACGAGTGGTAATTGATTAATTTAAAAACGTAAAGGTATTGCAGTAAATTGATTGAATAGTTAAATAAATAGTTAAATTCATATATATTTGAAAATTTTAATTTATAGTTCTAAAGAATAATTATTTAGCTTTCGTTTGCTGTAAAGTGCATTAGTTTTGGTCAATTAATAAGAAAGTTATTAAGCTTTAATGCGTTGACGGTTTTCGCGAATCAAAACGCAAGTCCCTCCCCCATTGATTCTCGAAAATGTTAGAAAATTTCGATTTGCATCAGGAGACTAGGAGTAGCGAGAAGGTATCTGAGCTCCGAGTATTGGTCGTTACTGAAACTTCCGACAGATGTCTCTATAAGCTTTGCTATATTGCTAACAGATGGCGCCAGCTGTCCAAAATAAACTTTGATTAAATAGTCTTAGATAATGAACTGTATTTTCATCAAAACTCACTCCCATAAGAATTTTGAATATAAAAATTGATCTAGAATATACAGAGCTAAAATGAGCATAAATACATGTGTGCAGCTGTGATGGTAACAGCAGGTAACAGCCAGTAACAGCTACTGTCGCAAGTTAATTTTAAAGGTCTTTTTTGGATTTCCTGATTATTCTACATTGTTCTGAATGTAAAATTATGGTACGACATGCACCATTGATTCATTCTTCTATTTGCATATATGGAAAACATTTCTCTGAATTTCACTTCGAGCAAGTACCAATGGAACATGTAAATAACCATCTATCACTAAAGTTCTTTGCTTTTGGAAAACTGTAACTGCAGGTAACTAGGGACAAATCTTAAAATCTTTTTACAAGAAACAGACTGAATCAGTGTCTTCATATAAGAATGTGCATTAATCGTTAGACATAAGATAAATAGTCAAGTTGTAAACAAACATTTGTACAATTGTTATTATTTTAGGTGGAGCTGATAGCAACATGCCTCTAATGTATAGTTGACGACTTGAAGTTCTCCGGAATGTGGAAAGCATTCTTTACCAGTAGTTTTCATTTGCAAATAATGGAAACCTTAATTACTGAAAGTGACCATAAATATTATTTTGTTAAGGAGATGGAAAACATCCCTGTAGCACCCAGGATTCTTTTGTTGCCTCCTACATGATCCTTAGAGACTGGATAAGATTTCTGAATGCCAGGTGCAGTGAAGATACTGGAAAATCAAAAATGAAAATTTTCACCAAATACCCAGCAAGTGAATAAAAGACTTTTTATATAGCTATCAATCTATATTTACACTCATTTTAATCTCTGTATATTTTAGATCAACTTTCATGTTCAACAATCATCTAGGAGCAAGTGCATACGAAAATACAGGCCAGTTTCGAAGACGATGTTTTCGACACTGTCAAATACCAAAGTTTGATAATTAATTGTGACGAAACTATGGTAGCTAAAAACGTCTATTTATGCTCATTTTAATCTCTGAATATTCTAGATCAACATTCATATACAAAATTCTTTTGGGAACAAGTTTTTTATGAAACTACAGTACATTTTCCAAGACGTTTTTTTCCATCTGTCATTTGTGAAATACCAAACTTTGTTAATTAATTATGAAGATGCTATAGCAGCTATAATCTTATATTTACGCTCATTTGAATCGACGTATATTCAAGATCAACAGCCACTTCTAACATTCTTCTGAGAGCTAAAGTTTACGAAAATATAGACCATTTTCGAAGACGTTATTTTGCCAGCTGTCATTTGTGAAATAGCAAAGTTTGTTCATTAATTATGAAAACACCATTGCAGCTACAAACGTATATGTACGCTCATTTTAATCTGTGTATCTTCAAGATCAACATCCAAGTCTAACATTCTTCTGGGAGCTCATGTTTACGAAAATACAGGCCATTATCTAAGACGTTGTTTTCCTATTAGTTCATCAAAGTTTATATGTATGTTTGGTTGCCTGCACTTTAGGCGCAAAATGAATATTTCATTTTTGTGATAGCTAGCGCCATCTGTTGGCAATATCTAAAAGGTTGTAGTTCAGGCATTTTGGCGCTGCACAAAATCCATGGGGCTTCGAGAATTTTGCGTTTTGGTTTGCGAAAACCGTCAACGCATTAAAGCTTAATAACTTTCTTATTAATTGAACAAAATTAATGTATTTTATAGCAAACGAAATATAAAGAACTATTCTTTAGAACTGTAAATTAAAATTTTCAAATATATATGAATTTAACCATTTATTTCACTGCAGTACCTTCACGTTTTTTTCAATGTTGGTCATTATTATTTATACCAAAGTTTGATAATTAATTGTGACGAAGCTATGGTAGTTACAAACGTGTATTTATGCTCATTTTAATATCTGAATATTCTAGATCAACATTCATATACAAAATTCTACTGGGAACTAGTTTTTTTTATGAAACTACAGTACATTTTCGAAGACGTTATTTTTCCATCTGTCATTTGTGAAATACCAAACTTTGTTACGTAATTATGAAGATGCTATAGCAGCTATAATCTTATATTTACGCTCATTTGAATCTACGTATATTCAAGATCAACATTCACTTCTAACATTCTTCTGGGAGCTAAAGTTTATGAAAATATAGACCATTTTCGAAGACGTTATTTTGCCAGCTGTCATTTGTGAAAAAGCAAAGTTTGTTCATTAATTATGAAGACGCCATTGCAGATACAAACGTATATGTACGCTCATTTTAATCTGTGTATCTTCAAGATCAACATCCAAGTCTAACATTCTTCTGTAAGCGCATGTTTACAAAAATACAGGCCATTATCTAAGACGTTGTTTTCCTATTAGTTCATCAAAGTTTATATGTATGTTTGGTTGCCTGCACTTTAGGCGCAAAATGAATATACTATTTTTGTGAAAGCTGGCGCCATCTGTTAGCAATGTCTCAAAGGTTGTAGTTCAGGCATTTTGGCGGTGCACAAAAGCCATGGTGGTTTGAGAATCATTTGCGTTTTGGTTTGCGAAAACCGCCAACGCATTAAAGCTTAATAACTTTCTTATTAATTGACCAAAACTAATGTACTTTATAGCAAACGAAAGATCAAGAATTATTCTTTAGAACTGTAAATTAAAATTTTCAAATATATATGAATTTAACCATTTATTTCACTGCAACACCTTCACGCTTTTTTCAATGTTGTTCATTATTGTTTTTTACATAATTCAACAACCCCTGAAGCTAATTCGATCATCAAATACTCAAATTAAAGCTGAAAATCTCATCTTTCTAACGAGTCTACTTATTTGTATAAGTTTAGATTTTAATTAATGAAATCCAAGAAAGTTCATATATATTTAATTTATTTAATTATGAAATAAACAAATCAGAAATAAAACAAAAATTCAGTACTTCTAGTTTATTAATATTATTATTATTATTTGTTTTATTGATACCAGCTAATATCTAAATAAGTATTATTACACGATTCTATTTATAACATTATTATTTACAAAATTTACGAGTAATTTGGCGTTGCTCTTTTGAGTGTGCATCAGTTAGTAGATTATCTTATACCAATAGTCGTTTGTCAAGGTTCCATTCAAATATTTGCTGATCATCTCAACGACGAACATAACTCTAATAATACCTTTAATAGAATCAGTTAGAAATGTTATTGTGTTTAAAATCGACATTATCCCTAGCAGAAGATTCTCCAACCGATTGTTGATCAAGCGAAAACCTGAAAGAAAAAAATAAACAATATTATAAGTCATTAATAATTTAGTTTTAAATAATTGCAAAAAAAAATGAAGAAAAATTTATAAATAAATTATCTGCGCAATTGAGATGTTAGAAGTAAAAATAACGTTGTATAATAAATACTGGATGCTTTTCTATGCAGCCAAGGAAACATAAAATCGGTTTACTATGATGATTTGTGTGTATAAATAAAGTATTTCTCGTCTTATAAACACTTTAAAAATAACATCCCGTTTATTTCTGCTATAGTTTTGTTAAATGTTCAAAAATTGGGTTGAAATACATTTCAATAAAAAACAGTAAGAATACCTTTATATAGATTGCACTAGGTTACGGTAATATTTGCAGTTGTTAATGTTGTGAGTTCTACTTTTGAAGATTCCGTCACCACTGAAGAAGTGCTGTTAGTTTCGTCGATGGTTTCTATGTAGGGAACGGCTAAGGTTGTTACACAAAAAACTGTATCGGTTTGATTAGTGGATTGGTTAAAGAGGCTGAAAGTGGCGTTGAAGGTAGTCGGATTTTCATCCGGTTTTAAATTGACGTTCCCATTGACCGTGGCATTCGCAATGCAGGGTAGATTAGTCACGTCCGACTCTGGAGTAGTCACGTTGACGCATTGCGACAGTAGATTATCCTTGCAAGGAATCGTTGTAGCGGCAGTGGCAACGCAAAGGATGGTATCGTTGGAAGTGCAGAGAGGAGTCGTTTGTCCGGCGCATAAAGCCGTTGCATTTTCAGGACACAGCATGATCAGATTCGCTGGAAGCTCAATATCCTTCGGCGCATCTTCAGGCTTGTTGTAATGATTGTAAACGTTGTATTTTTGACTGGATCCACCTCTGAACAGATTCCAGACCAACAGTCCGATCATGACGTTCCCGAAGGCATTCGAACCGAACCCTGATCCAAAACCTCTAGGTTTATTATACATCCCGTAATTATTTCCGTAACCATAACCACCACTATTACCTCCACCAAACAACGATCCGAAGATGCCCTTGCTTTGACCATGAGAACCCATCATGGGTTGATTCCCAAAACCTGCTACATTATTGTAGTATTGACCGGCGTTAGCACCGCTCGGCGGTATAACGCCTATGTTCGATGTGGGATGGTAACCAGGGAACGGTTGTTGTTGATTAAACCCATTACCATAGTTATAATTTTGCCCTGTGCCGTAATAATTATAAGAACCTGTGTTTGGGTACGCTCCGGCATGGGATGGGTACGAGCTGTGACCACCGGGATTCACGTAAGATCCGCTCACTGGATAAGCGAAGTTGTTCACGCTCCTCGCTTGATGATGGTAGGTGTTCTGATTGCTTTGACCCACGTCCCATCCGATGGGTCTCTGCTGCATATTCGCTGGACGGGAATCCAGATTCTGGAACTTCTGAGTCTCGATTTTGGGTGCGGAAGGCTCATATTTAGGTGCTGAAGGCTCCAATTTGGGAGCAGGAGGTTTACTCTCCGACGGCTTTGTTTCCAATTTAGGCGCGGATGGTTTCACATCCACAGCCTTAGCTGCAGGAACGACATCTGCACTGACAGGTTTCTGCGAGTTCGACGATTTCTTCTTGTTGTTCCTATTGAACAATCCTCCTAATCTAGATGAAGAGCTTCTTCCTCTACCACCAGACCTCTTGCTTTCACCCTCGGAGAAGCATACCACCAATAATACAACAACCACCAACAAGACGTGCACCTTCATCTCTTCAACGCACTTAAACTTAAACTGAACCGGTCAGCTCTCCTGTTTTCCAATGTATTCTCTTGTTCGACCAATTGGTTAATGATCAATCTTATCTCGGCATTTCCTGCTGTTTAGATTGTGGACGAGAGGTCGGCACAGCTTGTGCTGTTAAAGTTCAAATTGATAAAAGCGACAATTGCGTCTTATCTCTCAGCTTTTCTTTCATCCGCACAAATCGCAAGCAATTTTTCAATCAAGGTTTACAATACAATACACCAAACGATTGCAACAACTTTAAATAATAAATCCATTCTCATTCATTATCATTTGATATTCATATCAGAATGTTAATTATATTTAATGACTTTGTTTTCACAACCAAAAAATAATCAAATTCAATCTACGTAATAAATTATAGAAATTAATTTTACGATAATCGAAAAGAGTACAGTCATTTCATATTCCTTTACGGTTTTGAGCAAAAATGGTTGTTAGTAGGTAGAAAGAATTTCTTTACCTCGTCCCTTTTTTATTTCAAGCAAAAAAATATTTGTACATTTTTACCTAACATAAATTTTAAGGTTTCATGACTTTACTTGATTGATTTTTAAAATTAATTAAGTATATATTACTTAAATTTGGAAATATTATCTTAATTGATTCATAGAGAAGATACAATAAGTAAACAAGATTGTAATAAATTGCAAATGCGTTTCGTACATTTGCTAAAAGATTGTGGTTAAGTTAAAAAGAAAATAATCAAGAAACAAATGCGATTTTTATAAACAGGAAATCGGATGTTAACATTCAGGAAAAACAAGTGTAGTCTTGTAAAAAAAAAATTAATTAGCAGCGATTGCAAAAGGAAATTGTACGTTGCGGTTTCCTGTGGAAGTATAAGCAAATGGTCTTACAATTTCTTTTTGTAATTTAATTTATTTATTTTTTGGAAGATTACCGAACATGTGTTTTCATTACTTCAAAATGTTGTTCAGTCGTAAATTCTTTACAAGTTTAGATCAAAAGCAATCAAATTATTTATGACTCGTACTAAAAGAATGTAAATTTTAATTTTAGACTTTTAACACTTCGGCTTCTGCAAATAATTACCAATTACGTAACGTAATTAACGTATTTTTTTCTTTTTAATGACAAATTGATGCCTAACTGAAGATAAAAACAATGAAAATTATGCAACTGCATTTAGTAAATCTTTATTAATAATGCAAAGTGGATAATAATAAAAGAAAAAACCGCATATATCGTCGTCATTCGTCACATGCGTTTATTCACAATGATTTATTTACACTTCGAACACCATATTTCACTGGAATAACATATTAAAGAGGAAAAGTTACACAAGTCGTTAAATATTTACGTTGTTGTGCAATCTATGAATTCAAATATGCGAAATACGTAAGCTTATTTGAGTGCAACAAATCAATGGTTTAATTTACTAAAAATGTTACATACATTCATAATTACTCAAATAATATTATAACATTTTATTTATTAATTAGTAATTTTTAAATAATTACAAAATTAACATACATAAATGATTTATTTGAATTGTTTTAATGCGATTACTCAAAGATAGGCAGAACATTTTTTTTTATTGAACAGTATTTGCGATAACACGTAGATTAGTTGCATTTACTTAATGAAATAATGCAAGGAATTACTTTAAAAATATGCATTTGTGAAATGCAATTACTCACAGTTTTTTTTCAAATGGAATTCAATACATTTTTTAAATATAAATTCTTTGATAAAACACAAATTTCCTCAGACGAAAGAAATTCATCAACTATGAAAAAAAATTGATTTGAAACTTATATAACGATAATATGAAGAAGTTCAATGGGTAAATATTTTAATTTGAATCAAATAACTTATTTAACATTTTTTGCAAAAAATATATATTATCTCATTAACTTTTTGGGTTTTCGTCTAAAAATAGAAATTCTCTGAACAGCAGAAACCGCAAATCGATAAACGACGGTTCCGGTGTTTCTGGTTTTCTTTTCGTAACCGTTCTCACCTCTCATACGGTTCTCTTTTTTTTTATTATTAAATTTCAATTCGTATTCCCATTACTTCCTTGTTTCTCTCAATTATTCACGTTGTTTGTAACGAGAAACGTGTCTATTCATAATGAACGTATCCAATCGTGAATCACGAACAACAAACAATAAAAACGGATCCTTGTTCAGAATAAATAGCCTAGTCACTTTACTAATTGAAAAAGCATCGTTTCAAAATTGCTCGATCTCAATGTCCGGAAAACAAAGAGATTGTATTTTTCCGTTACATGCTCATAGATTGAGAAAGGAGAAAGATCATGGCCTAGAATGCACTAATCCTTTGATAACTGTAAATGTAGCAATGTTTTATCAATAAACTGCAACGAGAAGAGCGTCGGAATCCGCGCCAGAAGTGTCACGCGGGACCAAAACATGTTTTACGCAATAACAACACGATTAAAAAAAGCTTCGAATTACGTGAAGAAATGAAATGATATCTTGCGGTCAAGCAATGCAATACGCGTGGGTAATTGAATCTAATTAAATTATGTTATGCATACGAAATGAATTTTAATTAGCGATAGTAAGGAAAAGAGAGAATGTTGCATCTTTTTATCAACATATATTGATTTTGCATTTTAATCATTTTAGAATATTTAATAATTTAACTAAATTTTTTGTTATTTCTTACCAATTTTTTTGAAAACGTTTATCTAATAACATTTTCTATTTCCTTTAATTCAGAAATAGTAATTTCTATAACAAATTTTATGACAAAATTACACATATTTAGATACAACTTTTTAATTAATGAACAAAATATGGCTTTTTATAAAATTACCACATAAACACGCACGATAATTATGCAAATGTGCAAATTAAAGACAAAACAATGGTCTTTCCAAAAAGCTTCATATTATACATGAGGTATTTATAGTTTTCTTAAAATAAGCTATAAAAATTGAGCAATAAATTTTTTCAACCATTTTTTATTTTTTTTTATATTTTACAAAATAATTCGAAAAATGTAAAACTTTTAACATATTTTATGAATCCATCAAAAGCAGTTTTCTTTTATTCATATTTTGATATAAATTCTATAACATAATATTAATTAATAACGGTGATATGAAAATTTATATAAATCTTTCACGTCTGCACATTTTATTTAATTACTCGATAACCATGCACGCTAATTAAATCAACGAATATGCAAATTAAAGACAAAAATATGCTTTTTAGAACAAGCTTAATATTATATATGAGGTATTTATAGTTTTCTTAAAATATGCTTTAAAAATTGAACAATAAAGTTTTTCAACCATTTTATTTTTATATTTTACAAAATAATTCGAAAAATGTAAAACTTTTTACGTATTTTATGATTCCATCACAAGCAGTTTTCTTTTATGCTTCTTTTGATATAAATTCTATAACATAATATTAATTAATAACGGAGATATGAAAATTTATATAAATCTTTCACGTTTGTACATTTTATTTAATTACTCGATAACCATACACGCTAATTAAATAAAAAAATATGCAAATTAAAGACAAAGCTATGCTTTTTCTAACAAGATTAATAGTATACATGAGGTATTTATAGATTTCTTAAAATAAGCTATACAATTTGAACAATAAAGTTTTTCAACCATTTTTATTTTTTTTATATATTGTACAAAATAATTCGAAAAATGGAAAACTTTTAAAATATTTTATAATTCCATCACAAGTTTTCTTTTATGCTTCTTTTGATATAAATTATATAACATAATATTAATTAATAACGAAGATATGAAAATTTATATAAATCTTTCACGTCTGCACATTTTATTTAATTACTCGATAACTATGCACGATAATTAAATCAACAAATATAAAAATTATAGCAAAGCTATGCTTTTTTCCAACAAGCTTAATATTATACATGACGTATTTAGAGTTTTCTTAAAATAAGCTATAAAATTTGAACAATAAAGTTTTTCAACCATTTTTATTTTTTTTTATATTTTATAAAATAATTCGAAAAATGTAAAACTTTTTACATATTTTATGAATCCATCAAAATCAGTTTTCTTTTATGCATATTTTGATATAAATTCTATAACATAATATTAATTAATAACGGTGATATGAAAATTTATATAAATCTTTCACGTCTGCACATTTTATTTAATTACTCGATAACCATGCACGTTCATTAAATCAACGAATATGCAAATTAAAGACAAAACTATGCTTTTTCCAACAAGCTTAATATTATACACGAGATATTTATAGTTTTCTTAAAATAAGCTATAAAAATTGAACAACAAAGTTTTTCATACAATTTTTTAATTTTTCGATTTTTTTTTATATTTTACAAAATTATTCGAAAAATGTAAAACTATTTACATATTTCAAAATTCCAACATAAGCAGTTTTCTTTCAAGCATCTTTTGATATGATTTATGTAACGAAATAATAATTAATAACGTAGATATGAAGATTTATCTATATTTTTCACGTATGCACATTTTCTTTAATTACTCGATAACCATGCACGCTAATTAAATCAACGAATATGCTAATTGTAGATAAAACTGTAGCCTTTCCAACAAGCGTAATATTATATACGAGATATTTATAGTTTTCTTAAAATAAGCTATCAAATTTGAACAATAAAGTTTTTTTTATTTTAAAATATTAATAAAGTAATTGTTTTTATTATTTATTAAAAATTCACGAGCAAATTAAGGTAAATAATATAATTTTTCGGACTATAAGACGCAACACAATTCAAATTCTCTACGTTAAAAATATGGTATTTAGTGTTATTAAAATCTACTTACTCTAAGAGAAGATTTCGACGCTTTCGCCGTTGATATCTTGACCATATCCAGCATTGGTACCTGCATCAATCAAGTTCCTGCTGTCGATTTTAACATCGTTCTTGGTCTTCTCGTCCGGACAAGGCTTACTATGATCTTCATCCATGAAGACGATCTTGTCGCTATCGTCGGTCTTCTTCAGCTGCTCTTTGCAGGGCTTGTTACAAGACTTCGCTTTTTCAGACATCTTGCATGGAACGAGAGGCATTCACCAAATGCTCCGCTAATTATATTCACAAATACCCAAAGAGCTGAGAGTTCTCGCGCTTGCGTCCCTCTGCTTTCACTCAACATAGCTTATCGTAAAAGACAGATAATCCATTGGTTCACCAAAATATGCTCAAGTTCAAGAGCGTACTTAAAAACGTTTTAAATTTGAATTATTTATTAGATTTTCTACGAACAAGATTTTTTTTTTCCACTGAAAGTGTTCAATATTAATTTAAGTTATTTTTGTCTACCAGTAAAAATAATACTTTTTTCTTTTAAGTATTTACCTAAAATCATAGGAATCTTTTAAGAATTAAATGTGTGTTACTAATAAGTAATTAATCCAAATTATCAAAAATAATGAATTAGTAAATTAAAGCAAAATATTTGTTATTATATATTAATATCACTTATTTCATACATAAAAAATAGTTATATTTAATTGTACTATGTATTTATTTAATTATTAATTAATTATTAATACAAAAATAAATTAATTGAAAAGTTCAATGAAATAACCGGAAATTTTTTAAACATATATTTCAATAATTTCCGTGTTTCTTTTGGAATTTAAATCCGGGTAAAATTATTAAAATATCTACGTTTTCTCTGTTACCATAAAGACCACATTCATCTCAGAATTCTTACTCATTAAGTTAAATCCAGATTACTCATGATTTTTTACTTCCCAAAGGTTCCCCAACAACATTTTCTTTTACATCGTGACGTACTAGAATAGAATCGAAAGAAACAACGATCATAATATGTTTACTCGATTTTATTACGTTTTTACATATTGTTCTTCGTTTTTTTTTTCTGCATTTCATTCTTATAATTCGTATGTGTTTTGCATAACAAAGCATGCTTAAATCTTGCTGTATCCGTGAATAAAATATATACTGGAACAGGCAAAAACAGTTTATTCAGTCTATTGATTTTTTTTAAATTTAAATTCCACGATTCTAAAATGAAAAATATGTTAAGTGTTGTTTTAATAAATTATTGTTTTATTCATGTAACACAAACACAAGGTTCTTTATGTTAATATAAATAAATTTATGCGTTGTTGTTTTACGCAATTACATAACAAATGGAATAACTGAGAAAAACAAAAACAATAAAAATTATAATAATTTATTGTGAAGTTCAGTTAATTTTTTTCTTATTTAAGTAAATGAATATAAAGTTTTAATTAATTTTAAACAAAATTATGATTTAATTATTATTTTATTAATAATTAAATCAATTTTATCAAAGTTGAAATTAGTGCAAGGAAGAAATGATATTCTTTCACTTTACTTATTCTGTAAGATTAGTTGCCTATAAGATTACCCAATTTACAAGTACAAATGTTGATAATTCTATACATCATTTCCTTTGTATTGCAACTTCAAAAAGAGATAATTCTATGCTTTATAATTTCTTGTTTTTATTGATTAATTATTTAATAATATTTTATGTAATAAATTTTCTATAATAAATTAATACTACGAATAAATTATTTCACAAACTAAAAATTTAAAGAATTTAAGGTTGCATTTGAAATTTATAGCAACAATTAAAGCAGTTTTAAATTGATAACTATATCTAATTATCATATGTGCTAAGCGTACAATAATTATAGTTTGTATCAATAACAAATATAACAATAATAGTTTTAATTATTATGGTTTTAATTATTGATTGAAATAATTATATGAAGTATTTCATTTTATGAACTGAGTTCAAATTAATAAACAAATCTTAATAAAAAATTGGTAGTTTCAATGGTAACAATATAATTTTATTTTGAAAAGTAAATTATGATTTAATTTTTTAGTTTCAAATCTTCTTTGAGAAATTTAACTAATTTAGCTGCGACCATCATGATGGGATTGCTCGGATGTCCGGCGAGGCTGTCAGGAAAAACACTTCCATCAGCAACTCTTAAATTCTTGATTCCATGTACTCTCAATTTGTTGTCGACAACAGCACCTTTCTTTGGATCTGGACCCATTTTGCAGGTGCCCACAGGATGGTACAGACTGTCGCTCAAATACCTAATCGTGCAATACCAATAATCTTTGGAAAGATACTCAAAATCTTTGCATTCCGGCAACACAACTTTACCCAATTTAGCGTCGATGGCTTTCATGGCTTTAGTCTCGAGCATCTCGAGGATCAAATTGATTGCGTAATAAATCGTTTTGATATCGTGATCGTCGTCATCTTCTAAGAATTTGGTATTTACGGTGGGATAATCGAATGGATTCTTAGATTTCAATCGTAAATATCCAGTGGATTTTGCTTTTAAAACGTCGATGTACATTGTAAACGTTTTAGTTGGATCAACTCCTTCGATTAAGGCTTTGTTGGATGAATCCGTGAACCCGAATCCTTTCTGGAAGAACGCGTCCGATCTGTTTGGCGAAATGAGCATGATTTCGATATCGGCTTGAGGGATTTTGCTGAAGTTGGTTTTAAAGAATCCCACTCCCGCGTTGTTTCCTGGTAAAGTCAAGACGCCATCTCCTTTCAAGTAGTCTTCCACGTAACCATGCATTGGTTTCAAAGGGATCGACACGTTACTTAAGATGTTTAATCCGTAGAAGCATGGATGATCTTTGTAGTTATCTCCGACTTGAAGATCGTTAATGGTTTCGATTCCCATTTCCTTCAGATGCTTCTGAGGTCCAATTCCGGACAACATTAAAATCTGCGGAGAAGCAACAGTACCTGCTGATAAAATCACTTCCCTTTTGGCTAAAGCTACATGGAATTTATTATCTTTTATATACTGCACGCCAAAAGCCGTTTTCGTTTTGGGGTTTATCAGGATTCTGGTTACGTAACTGTTGTCGCTCAACTTCATGTTCTTGCAGTTAACCTTGCTGATGAACGCTTTACCAGTGGTCAACCTTCTACCGTTAAGTGTGTTTAATTGAGCCTTGGACACTCCCAACTGCTCGCGACCATTGTAATCGATTTCCTTCCTCCCCAATTCCACGTTAGAAGCCAAAAACGCGTTCAAATGAGGACTATCGAATTTGCTGTACTCCACGTTCATCAAACCTTTCGTACCATGATAACCTGGATCTCCATTTATATGCGAATTCTCCAACTCCTTGAAGACGGGTAAAACATCTTTGTACGACCATCCTGGGTTACCACCAGCAGCCCAGTTATCGTAATCAACCGGGCTTCCGCGCGAATAAACCAATCCGTTTATTAAAGTCGTACCACCAAAGCCTTTTCCCCTTTGAAGCATGCATTTTTTACCCTTCAACCCTAGACAACTCTTCTTCTGCGGAACCGTCCCGTAGTTCCAATTGTATTTCGTTCCTTGCGCGAAGAAAGCCATACCTGGAACGTCGACGAAATCGTCCTCGTGACTTCCAGCCTCCAATAAAAGACCCTTAATACCATCGATTTCGGAAAGCTGCTGAGTCACAACGGATCCTCCGCTCCCCGAACCGATTATAATATAATCATAAGTTTCAGTCCCTAAAAATATAAATAAATTTATAACAAAAAATCTATAATATAATTCAACTTTTACTCACCATTAGGTAATGAATAAGGGTCCAAATTGTAACCGTTGTAGGAATGAGCATTGATTGGTAAATTGTATTTCAAAGCTTCTTCTTGCTCTTGAATCAACATCTTCGTAAAGTAGTCGACGTCCACATTCAGCTTGCAATTGGCGCACGCCCATAGACAGGCTAATACTACTAGAACTCTTGCCATTTCTGTACTTAACTGTGAAGGTACTACCGGCTCTTTATATACTCATTGACCGAGGACGAAACCATGCCAATTATTGTTACCATTCATTTCTATCTTATCACCTGATAAATTGTTTGCACTTTTTGATGAGCGCAATTAAAGCATGAATTTTTGTATTATTAAAAAAAAAATCATATTGATAATATACTAGGAAAGCCTTACTTTTCGATTAAAAACAATTATTTTAACCTTGCATTTTTCTTAAGTTCCTTTTATATACGCATCAAAGAAGACGTTACCTTGCAATCTAATCTAAAAAAATAATGAATTATTAATATGGAAATTATCATTAGAAAATAAGAAAATTTTTAATACAAGTTTTTTTTTTACAATTAATTAAACTTCTTTTAAAAATATTATTATTTTTTTGTTCATTAAAAGTAAAGGAAAACTATGAATGCGTCATTTTCAAAAAAAAAAAAAACTAATGACCATATTTTGATATTTACATCAAAACTCGATATGAATTATGCATTTCTAAAAATATATATTATTAGACAAATAAGTAATTATGTTATTTTGGTACAAGTACGCTATATTTTCATAAATTGGACAACATAATTGCAGTGCATAATTAAACTGAAATAATTAATGGCAAAAAAAAATACGTTCACTAAAATTAGAATTGATAATGAGAAAAAAATTATTAGAGAACAAAAAAATGGTATTGTGAGCTTCTTATCTTTGATGTAGGATGAAGGGTTTTTGATAATGTTAACCCTCATCTTTGATAAACAATGACCTAAGAAGAAAGGATGGATTGTTGGTCTGTAATGGCGATGCAAAATGGATTGCGACGATAAACGCAAGTAATTGGCTGCTGATTTATCAAAGGGATGTATTCGTAGGGCGAAAAATGTGCGCAGTAATATAGATGTTTCTGCGGTTTTCGCATGGAAATAAGGGCGAGGGTGGAAACGATCATCTTTTCTTGTACATCTCCACCCTTGCCCTTTTGAGTGCTTGCTCGCTGTATCGTCCTTCTGGTAAATCATCCTTTTTGCAAATCATAAATCACAAATGTCTTAGGATTTTTGTCTTACAACCGAAAACAAAGTGTATAGCAAAATGCTTAAATTTTAAAATCAATTTATTTCTACTAAATATATTAAACAATTTCTAGAAGAATTATTTTATGTTGAATAACTGAAACAATAACAGCATAGTTTAATAAAGAATTAATAGAATATTTCGAAATACCAACGAGCACGATTATACGAGTTATCAGTTGGTTTCGTAAACAAAGCGGTGTCATTCTTGAAATTATTCTGCATAAATCCGAAATTTCCAGAGTATTTGCAAACTACATGTTTCATTTTTTTTTCTATCCAAAGAATACGTATTTTCCGCACTATAAAGATTGCTGAAATATTTCAAAAACGCTAGAATTTGAGAGCGCGCCTAGAAACCGCAACACTTCGCAACTTCACTTTCCCGTTGTGTTTACATTTTCTGTAATTAATTTCAGTTTTCTTTTTTCCAATTAACAAAAAAAAATTGTTTTCAGTTTGCAACTGTGTACGGAATATCAAGACACCTGTTAGTGTTTGAGTCGAGTGGGCGCGAATTTGGTATTCCTTTTGAAGTGTAGTTCATCCATATGTCTCCATCTCGTCTACTTTGTTCAACTAGGAGCATTACTTGCGGAGGAAATGGATGGAGTTCGCATCCTGAATTTCTGAACACGACTGACTGATTGACAGATGCTGAAAGTCGCTGAAAGCAATTCGCAGACACTTATAAACCAATCTACATATAACGTTTGCATCTGTATTGCTCACTCTACATTCCTTATCCTATTTAAACCCAACACAAATAAAAAAAAATAATCTGGAAATAAATTGAAATCCCGAAATCCAATTTACTTGAAAGCGCCAAAACCTACTTAGATATATTTCCAGTTCGATTTATTCATTTTAACGTTTGAAGTTAATCATCAGAAATTTTATAGTTAATTGAAAAAAAAAGATTATTTTAACTAATTACTTCTTATATAACAAATGTATGTATTTGAATTCATGTATGAACTTTACAAATAAAAATTGTGCGAAATATGAGAATTTCCATATAATTTTATAACGGATAATTGATGATGATTGTAGAGTCTTCTCTCTATATATAAATTTTTATTCACAAAAAAAAAAGGACGATTATTATCCGGAGCAGTAAATTAGAGCATTTAAATGTGTTGCTTCAATCCTTCTTCGTGCAATCGTCTATTTTATGGGACCTAGATATTCACGCGGCGGCCTTCCTTCCTTCTCTACACTTCCATCTGTTCTGTACGTGATTAATGGACGGTGGATGTTGCTGACAAATATTCTGAAGGAAAATAGTTGAGCGGAGGCAGCAGGAAGTGCACTGCAATTTTCGTCCTTTTCCATTTACAAAATTCCGTTCCTTTTCAATTCCACTCCACCATTGTATCTTCTTCGCAACACATTACCGGATTTACAGAACACATTGTAATATGGAAATAGCAGCAGATACCGAAACTGTCCTTCGTAGTCGTAGGCGAAAGATCCAATAGAAAGAATCGCCGTTTTCCATCATTTCCATCATATATAAATATCAATTTGAAATGTCTTCACCTTGTTTTCATACTCGAACGTCGTAAACTGAATAAATCAATCAATATGATTACACTTTAATACAGTTCTATCAATTTTTTGGAACACCTTAAAAAGTAATTTCAATTAAAATTTACATTATTAGTTAAATTTATTAAAATTCAACTATTTCCTATTAATTTATGAAAAACGTAAGAATTATAAAAGTATAAAACTTAAAATTTAGATTATTACAAATTTATATTTTGTCTTGTTGTAGTTTTCTTTTTACGATTTTATAAAATTAGTGAATTCAATAATTGAAATAATTATTATATAATTATAATAAAATTATAATTATAATTTAATAAACAAAATCGTGGATTAAATTCAATAATCTGGATTAAATAATTAATTTTAAATTAATAAACGCAGAAATTCGTGAAAATTTGGGATAATAAATAATAAAAGTCAATGTTTAATTGTAATAATTTGTAACGCTGAAATAAACACATTTTCACGGTAATCTGGTTAACAAGCAACTTGCACATTTAATTACTTCCGTCTTTGAACGTCATATGTTTATGTAACCTAGTTACCTGCAATTGTTTTACGCGTCTAATTACAAATGGAAATGGGTCGTAGCACATAAAAATATAAAAATAGTTGATAAAAATTAACGCGCGTGTGTAAATTGTAGCAGTGTTACCAGAAACCATGTAATTTCGAATTAATTATGCCCAGTTGTTGATTTTATAATGCTTTGATTGGGGCGGAATTCCATGCACAAATTGATAATACAAATTAACGAGAAATTTTGATATTCGATGTACAAAATGGACTAAACCGAACTGCAATTCGTATTGGATTGTACATGAGCATTCACATAAATCAAATTTATAGCCGTTTTAAGAGGGGGATGGGGGGAGGGGGAGCCACTTAAAATATTGTAGTCGACGGAAAACGAAATATTTTCGAACTGCGTCGATTGCATCTAGATATATATGGCTTTCCGAAAGATTTTAATGTTTATGTTTCTGCTTGTAATTTATAGTGCGGATGCGCCGGGTTCATTCTACGTGTTATACGACTGTGTTGTACAGGTTTTAAAGCGAGATATTAAATTCGAAAAATATTACACAAAAAATCTGCTTTCGTATAAATTTATGATACTACTAATTCGATTACAAATTCAAATAAACTGATTTCAACTTTGGTAAATGTACAATTACAACATATTGATTTTCTATAATTAATTAATTTTGATTATTTATTATCATTTTTTTATACCTGTAAATAATTATGAAATTATTGTAATAAATATAGTTTTCATTAAAAAATATTTCATATTTTACTCCAATTAAATTTATTATCAAAAATAATGATTATTGATATTTGTATAATTTATATTAATAACTTGCAATTATAATAAATTTACTTTGGTTAATTATTCTTAATTACATTAAAATATTAATTATAATTACATGATGATAATTATCATATATTTGTTAATTAGCAGATTGTTTTAAGCATTAATTAATACATACTGACTTCAATGCTTAAACTTGAGTCAAAATAATGAAGAAAATAATTAATTAATTAAATTTACTGATAAAGTAATTAAATCGTTAAATTTGAGTCATAAAAGTGATGAAAAATGAAAAAAATCACACTAACTCTGTTTTTTTTTTTCATATTACATTTACGTATTGAATAATGGGATTTTTTTGGAGCTTAGAAACACGTGGTATTCCCTTGAATACACCGCATCACGTGTCTCGTCTCTAAAGCGAATCCATAATGCGATGTCTTCAGGTAAGCCATATGTTTTATGTGAGAGCAGGAAATGATATTACGCTTTCAATAACGGGCCGTGTTTGCATAGAGAATGATGTTGTATTTAATCATCGGAATATGCATACATTCCATGCAGAATAGACCTTACCTATATATAAATATATATAGAAAGACGCACGCTCGCATGAACACATATAATGGATGAAGAGAAAGTAAAGTGAAGAAAAATCTCAACATCATCATTATCCTCCCAACCGTCAACATCATAATCATAACCATCGATTTTAATCTCAAATGATAATATAACGTTAATTAATTTCATTAATTGTGAGGACGAATTCAAATTTATTAAACTACAAGGATATTTAATCCTTTATTTTTGTTCAAGAATCGTCATGTTTATTAAGAGGATTTACTAAAAAAAAGAAACAACAAAATAATAAAAGACATTGCGCATTTATTATGATCTTCACGAAGAAGTGAATTTCCTACCTTCGCAAATAAAGAAGGGAAATTGTTTTGCAGATTCTCTTGTTTACGAAATACCTGCAATTACTTATTTCAAATTAAACATCGAGTTGTAATTGCATTTGTACAGAAAGCATTGCTTGTTTAC